GCCTGATAAGCAATTTGGTGAGTAAATGTTTGACTTTCCATTTTTTCATCTCCCACAGAAATGGAAGCATCTGAAATTGGATAAACAGCATGATTAACGGGGGCTACTAATTTTAATTGAGGATTGGTTAAATCTTTTTGAATATCTTCGTAAAAAAATACTTCTTTTTGAAAAACCCCACTAATAAAACCATCTGTGGTATCATTCCTTAACCTCAAATTTCCCTGATAAGAACCAGGCTTGTTAATCAATACTCCTAAACTATTAAATTTTAAATCTAAACTTAATTCATGGCTTTTATTATTACAATTAGCCAAATTATTTAATAAGTCATTAGAATACTGAAAACGAAAAACTAGGGCAGGACTACAATAACGATTAGCAAATTCCAAAAAGTCATATTTTAAATCGACTGTATTAGCATATAGTAAATCAGGAGTAATTAACGGCTTATTTTTATTTCCTCCCTTGGACGGATTTTTATATTTTCTTCTCGTGCTTTCTTCATTTTCGGGTTGCTCTTTGGGAACCTCTTCGTTTAATCCCAAAATGTCTTTAAAACCACCTCATTTTTCGGCTACTCCTGACAAGACTTTTTGAACAAAATTTTGAGTTTTATAAATCTGGGAAACTGCTAATTCAGCCTTTCAAATTTGAGTTTTGGAACTCATGAGATAATAAATACCTGACGGATTAGCCCGAACTTGATTGAGAAATTTCAGCACGAGATATTTACCCGTGCTATTGCCATCTGGATTGGTGCCTCCTTTTTCCTCTAACCAAAACTGATTTAAAAAGCCTGTGTGAACTAATTTATTTAAAAAGAAAACTTGAACCACACTTTCATGGATTAAATGGGGATGCTGATTATAGACCGAGGGCAGGGGAATTTCCTCAGGCTTGCCTTTATTACCACTTACTTTGCTAAATGAAACATACTGGACGGATTTATTAGCATAATAGTCATAGGGGGCTAAAAAGGCTAATGTTTGTCCTCCCATGGTGGTGCTGTTTCACCAATTAGCAAGATAACTGGCTGCTCCTCCCACTGTATCCACATCGGTCATGGTAAAATTGGTTATTATTTCAGGGTCTCATTTATTCGGACCAGCCTTAAAACTGGTTAAATGTTGGCTACTGATGTCTGTTTTTACATCTAACACCACAGTTTTTAATCGGGGTTGAATATCAGGA